TTTTATCTCACGATCACTGCTGATATGCATAAAATGAACTATAACCCCATACTCACAACCCATTTCACAGCAGTTGCAGCACTCTGCCCTTAACTTTCTTGTCTTCCTGGCTGCCACTTGAAGGACTAGTGGTTGGTCACCAGGGTAAACCCAGTGGCAACCAGTGGGTCCTTGAATATGGCCTATGTTGTTTGTTGTTGTTATGTGCCGTCAAGTCGGACCCAACTCATAGCGACCCCTCCTTGTGTTTCCAAGGCAGTATCACTATGGAAGTAGATTGCCCAATCTTCCTTCCGAGGAGTGGCTGGTGGGTTTGAACCGAATATGGCCTATAGTAGACCGCAAACTGGCAAAAAGGACAGAATGATTAGCACAAGTCCATAAAGATAGACTGTTAGCTCTATCAATCCATCTATGTTTCTCTTCCATGGTATAATTGTTAGGTGTGGTAGAGTTAGTTGGTTCCAGCTCATAGCGACTGTACAACAGAATGAAGCACTGCCCAGTGCTGCCATCCTCACTACCATTGCTACGCTTGAACCTATAGTTGCATCCACTGTGTCAATCCATCTTTTTGAGGACCTTCCTCTTTTTTGTTGACCCCCTACTTTTCCAACCTGATGTCCTTTCCAGGGACTGCTCCCTCAAGATAACACGTCCAAAGAATGTGGGTGAATTCTTGCCATCCATGCTTCTAAAGAGTTTTCTGGCTGTATCTGAGAGTTGTTGGAGTTGTGTGTCAACTTGGCTGGACCACAATTCTGTGTGGTTTAAGCAGCTGTGATATGGGTTAGTCTCATGATGGGATTGGATGTATATGTTTTGAGCAGCCAATCCATTGAAAGGGAGTTTCCCTAGGGGTGTGGCCTGCTTCCAATATATTTATGGACATCCTGGGAAAATGAGACTCTTCTGTGGATCCAGATCCTGTTGTGCTGCCTACAACTGTCTGTGAGCAAACAATCCACCATTCAACCTGGTGATCTTGGATTTGTCATTCGTTGGAGTCAACAGCCAGTATACTGCCCGCCAGCCTTGAGCTCATCAGCCTCTGCAGCTGCGTGAGTTGGGAAAAGCCTCCAGCTTGACGTTTGATCCAGGAACTTGGGACTTGACAGCTTTTATAAGTGTGTAAGCCATTTTCCTAAGATAAATTTCTCTTTCTCTCTCTCTTTAGTGGTTTTGCTTCTCTAGAGAGCCCAGCCTAATATACTGTACTTTTTCCAAGACAGACTTGTTCATTCTTCTGCGAGTCCATAGTTATATTCAGTGTATGTTGACAACACCAAAATTCAAATGCATCATTCTTCTTCAGTCTTCCTTATTCATTTCCCAGCTTTCACATGCATAGGAGGCAATTGAAAATACTATGGCTTGGGCCAAGTACACTTTAGTCCTCAAAGTGACATCTTTTCTTTTTAACATTTTAAAGAGGTCTTTTCCAGGAGATATGTCCAATGTAATACGTGGTTTGATTTCTTGACTGCTGTCTCCATGGGGTTTGATTTTGGATCCAAGTAAAATTAAATCCTTGACAACTTCAATCTTCTCTCCATTTATCATGATGTTGCTTATTGGCCCAGTTGTGAGGATTTTTGTTTTTATGTTGAGGTGTAATCCACACTGAAGGCTGTAGTCTTTGATCTTCATCAGTAAGTGCTTCAAATCCTCTTAGCTTTCAGCAAACAAAGTTGTGTTTTCTGCATATCACAGGTTGTTAATGAGTCTTCCTTTCATCTTAATGTTACATCCATCATATAGTCCAATTTCTCAGCAAAAAGATTGAATAACTATCGTGAAAAGATACAATCTTGACAAACACACCTTTCCTGATTTTAAATCACGCAGTATCCCTTTGTTCTGTTTGAACGGTCTATGTACAGGTTTTGCATGAGCACAGTTAAGTGTGTGGAATTCCCATTCTTTGCAATGTTATCCACATTGTTATGGTGTACACAGTTGACTGCCTTTGAATAGTCAATAAGACAGGTAAACATCTGTGGTCTCTATCATGGGGGTAAGACCATGCAAATAAGGTGTATGGAACCCTAGCGTGGGGATTGGTCAGTTGTGCCATCTTGCTAGACTTAAATGGAGCCCAGGTAGAGTCAGAAAAGGGAGATCTCACTGCCATCAAGAGAGGAGTTGGAGGTGGAGGGGAGCATGCCTTGGACCCGAGACCCCTGCATTGGCCCTCCTTGGCAGAGTCAGCAGAGAGATGGTAGCAGTGGAACCAAGAGACATCAGACAGTGTGGAGGCTTACCAGCTCACAGAGTAAGAAAGCTGAGTGCCATTGGGCAGAAGGATGGCTGGTGTGCACCTAGGTGTACCTACTGGCAGAGCTAAAAGAGCTTTGTAACAGTTACTCAAGCAGGGCAGAGGCCAAGCTAAGAGACCAAGGGCCAGAGAAAGGTGTGCCTGAGGGAATGGCTGAGGGTAGGCTGTCCTGATTGAACTGTATCCTGAGCATCCTTGAACCTGAAATGTAACCTGTTACTTCTCTAATAAACCCCATAATCTTGAGTATTGTCTGTGAGTTCTGTGTGGCCATTGCAATTAACTATCAAGCCCAGCAGAAAAGTAGTGAGTGCCATGGGAGGGATGGCTGGTGTCAGAGTTGGTAAAAAAGGCCTCGGAAACCCAAGGAGGGGTCACTATGAGTCGAGTACAACTCAACGGCATATAACAACAAATAAGGCATCTTATGAGGCATGTCTGGCCTCATAGGAATCAGCCTTGAGCTGTTGATGGTGACTCTCTTTCCCCCTTTTGAAGTTAGTTAGATGAAGTCAGAGGATGCTGTCCTCATGTGCTTTTTGCATTTATCCATAAGGGATTGTTCCACCAGGCTAAAATTTTTTTAAAAAAAGTAGCTTTATTGTAAGACTGATAAATACTCTTAAATAAGTACACTGAATATATTAAATACCCCAATTCCCACCTACCAGAGAGATGCAGTTATGATATTGACCTCTTCTCCACACACTTTTATTTGTACACAGTGTATCCACACATGCATTCACACACACATACGCTCACAGACATGCATATTAAAAATACAGTGGTCGTACAATTAACTTTCTTGGTTCACTAGTTTGTGGGAAAACTTCAATAGTTGTACCTGAACATTTTTAGTGGTTTTTCCCTCATATGTATCAAATTATTAAGTGTCCAATGAACACCTGAAGGATTCACTTTTGTTTTTTTGCTGTCACACACACACACACACACACACACACACAAAGTCACAGGACTCAGACACTCAGACGTATGTATTCTTTTCTCACCAGCACAGTTTTCTCCCAAGTATAAATTACTATACATTTCTTACCATTTCAAAGGCTATACAAATTTAATTTGGTACACTGACAAATTCTTTCCAAAACAACTATACCTCTTTTCACTCTAATAGTGCATAAAAGTGCATGTGTCCATACAGCCCCACTGATGGTAGATTTGGTGACCTATTGTACTACTGATGATCTGACAAGTTAAAAACAGTATTTCTCTAATTTTTTATTCTAGTATTTTTAATAGGAGCTCTGGTGGCATAGTGCCTAAGGCACTTGACTGCTAACCAGAAAGCTGGCAGTTCAAACCCACCAGCCACTCCTTGGAAAGAAGGCTACTCAATCTACTTCTGTAGTGATACTACTTCAGAATCCCAAGGAGGGGTCATTATGAGTTGGATTTGACTCAACGGCAGTGCATTTGGTTTTTTTTTTTTTTTGGTTTAGTATTTTTAATGATAAAAAAGGTGTGAAATGAAATGGGATTAAAAAAAATAGTATATTCATGATGGCAATATAATTCCTAGGAACAGTGTATTAGAAAATACAGAACTTATTGTACAAAGTCCCTAAAAAATATTCCTGAGGGATCATAAGAATATGATTCCACTCTGTGGAAACAAAGAGTATTTTCAAAAAGGAAAAGATTAATATTTCAAAGACTTTTTAAAAAGCTCTTCTTTAGAAATTAACCTATGAATGAATACAATGCAACCCCAATTAAAAGTCCAATAGGATTTTGTTTTTAATATTTGATTAAATAAATTATTCTTAAAGTTTATTTCAACCTCTTTGAGAAGTCCCCTTTGAGGTAAAACAATCACAAACATGATGGCATGTGATAGAGAGCCATTTCCCAGAGCTGCCAAGAAAAGGACTTTCCCTCTACCTGCTCCCAGCCTTCTAAGTTACTAGCTGTGATACATATTAATGTCATCTTTTATATTTGAAAACACTATCTTTAAAAAGGTGTACATGAACCTTTTAGCTAAATAACAGCCTGATTTATAAAATAAAGAGTATTTCCAGTGAATTCTGCACACCTTTACAACGTATCTGTATGACACCAAATGGTCAACAATTACTCTGAAGCAAAGATGAAAAGATTAAGGGGTAGGGACACCAGATTACCGGAAGTGAGAGAAACAGAAGGGAATTAATGAGAATATCAATACATTGTGGAAGATGTAACTAATGTCTCTGAACAATGGGTACAGTAATCATTAAATGGGTAACTAAACTTTCACCAAAAATGTAATTTAAAAAAAAAAAGTATACATTATATTGGTCTTAATAAGGTGACAACTGTTCCTAAGTTTGTCCCATTTATAGGTATCTCCCCCTACAAGGACTCCATGTCCAAAATTTGCATTTTTGATGCATTCCACTACTCCTTTATAAAAACTCTTTTCCTAGGCAGACTCTGAGAAAAGGGACAATTTACACCAAAGCCATTACCATGCCATTTAAAGATCATTCTGCTCTTAACAGACTCTTGAAGACTGAAGTTTGTGACTAAAGTGCTTACTCTATCAAAATTTCACATCTTCCCTCCTCCACAGATTAGCTGATGACTTTGAAAAATTCAGCCTTGACAGCAGCCCATCAACATTAACTCATAAAGTCTTTCTCCTGGGTTGCCTCTCAAATAAATATAAAGGTCTGAGTTCTAACCAGACTCTTCAACTTACATCTACTAATAAAGGTTCTCACTTAAAATGCACTCTCTGATGATTTCGCAGACGTGCACTTTGACTATAGCCTTTCCCACATTCCTCACACTTATAGGGCCTCTCGCCTGTGTGGACTCTCTGATGAACTTGAAGAGAAGAACTTTGACTAAAGCCCTTCCCACATTCTTCACACCTATAGGGCTTCTCTCCAGTGTGGACCCTCTGATGACCTTGAAGATGGGAGCTCTGACTGTAGCTTTTCCCACATACATCACATGTATATGGTTTCTCTCCGGTGTGCACTCTCTTATGGCTCAGGAGACCAGAGCCAAATCTGAAGCCTTTTCCACACTCGACACACGTGTAGGGTTTCTCTCCCGTGTGTAATCTCTGATGGGTGCGAAGATTTGAGCTGTAACTGAAAACCTTGCCACACTCATCACATGTATAGGGTTTCTTTCCTGTGTGGACTCGCTGATGTTTGTGAAGATTTGAGGTGCACCTAAAGCCCTTACCACACTCTTCACACTTATAAGGTTTCTCGCCTGTGTGGACCCTCTGATGAATGAGAAGTACTGAGCTGTAACTGAAGCCTTTGCCACACTCAGCACATTTATAGGGTTTCTCTCCTGTGTGGGCTCTCTGATGAATGAGGAGGTCAGAGCTGAAGATAAAGCCTTTTCCACACACATCACATACATAGGGCCTCTCCCCAGTGTGGACTTTCTTGTGACTATGAAGGTCTGAGATCCTCCAGAAGCTTTTCCCACACTCGACACAAGTATAGGGTTTCTCTCCTGTGTGGACCCTCTGATGGACCTGGAGGTCCCAGCTTCGGCCAAAGCTCTTCCCACACTCACATCTGAAGGGTTTCTCTCCTGTGTGCAGTCTCTGATGCATGAGAAGCCCCGCACTGTAACTGAAACTCTCACCACACACATCACACTCATAGAGGCGCTGCCCTGTGTGAACTCGTTGATGAGCTTGAAGGTAGGAGTTGTAGCGGAAACTTTTACCACACTCATCACATTGATAGGGCTTCTCTCTCGTTTGCGTTTTCTGGTAACTGCTAAGATATGAACTACAAACCAATTCCTTTCCATACTCAATACAGCTATTAGGTTTTTCTCCTGGGTGGATGTGCTGCTCCTTAAGCAGTGTGGATCTGGTACAGAACCCTTTGCCATACTCACTGAATGTGCAGGCATTCTCTCCTCTGTAGACTTTGAGAGGGTCAATACTTTGCTTTGCTCTCTGACCACTCTCAACACTTGTAGATGATACCCCTTTTAAGGGGATGTTTTGATGCATCATGTCTTTGTATTCATACGGTTTCTCTTCCAAGTGCACTTGTGGATGAGTGGGGAGGTTTGAAACATCCCTGAAGCCTTTCCCACCTTCCTTACCTTTAAAGACATTCTCACTAGAGTTAGGGTGATAAAGTATTCCCTCGTCAATGCAGTGTCTTCGATACTCTTCACATTCATAAGGTTTCTCTCCCTCAGGTAGTCCGCGATCACCGTGGTGATGTGACATCCAGCTGAAGCCATACTCACCCCAATCACATTTATACAGTGCAGCTTCTGTTTCGATTTTCTTACCACTTCTTTGAACATTCCAAGGCTCGTTCACAAGAGCCCAAGACTCCTGAATGGGGAGCGGGCTCACAACTTTCCAGGTGGGAAACTCTTGACTCACTACATTGATGACACTCTTCCCTTGAAGACCGTCCACCAGATTCTCAACTTGAAAACCCTGAATAGATTTGCCTTCTGACCCTTGACAGCAAGAAGCATCTTCTGAAAACTGGAAATCTCTCCCTCGAAGATTTACTTGATGGTCCTGACTCCCAGTTAATTCACCAGTCACCTGTTCCCAGACTTTCCAGTAGGACAGCTCTTTGTGTAAAAGGACTTTTAATTCATTTTCTTGAATGCACTCTATGTCCTCTTCATTCATGTCTCCTATGGGGTTAAAGACAATTCAGAGATGAGAATAAGTTAAAGGCTCAGGGCTGTCAGCCTTTCAGGCTTGGACCAAGTATTGCTGAAGACCATAATGGCCCAGAAGAAAACTCAGCTTTGGGTGTCATAACTATCAGGTCATTTATTTTTAAATCTGAGAGAAGGAAGAGCCTTCTATTAACAAGCTTGGAAACTCAATGTCTATATGAACAGATTGTATCTCCTCACAGAGTTGCACAGCAAAAGGAATCCTGACCAGATCTTTACAGAGAAATTAACTTCTCTAATCACAGTGCAGGGAGCTCTGGTAGCATAGTGCTTAAGGCACTTGGCTGCTAACCAGAAGGCTGGCGGTTCAAACTCACCAGCCACTCCTCGGAAGGAAGGTTTGGCAATCTACTTCTATAGTGATACTGCCTCGGAAACCCAAGGAGGGGTCACTATGAGTTGGGTCTACTTGACAGCACATAATAACAACAACAATCACAGTGGTGTTGCTAATAATATGTAGCACTATTAGGTCACTCTATATTTTACTATACATATGGACTGTATACTTTATATACAATGAAACCTGTGAGAGCTGAAACTCAACAGAACTGTCTTGTTTTTCCAGATCTGGCAAGTTTTCTGCCTTTGACAAGGTGCAGTCACCATTCAGCGATCCCTCTCTATCTAGTGGAAAATACTTGAGATTTCCTTCTCCAGGTCCCAGCTTTTACTGTATATTATATATCTGTATCATTCCAGATCTAACATAGGTTAATGTTTGCCCTTGGCTATTTATCAAACCCACCCAGTGGTGCCACAGAATGAAGTCCTGGTGACTTGATTCTGTAAAGATTACAGCTAAGAAAATCCGATGATGCTCACTTCTCTGTAATACAGAGTCACTGAGTCAGAATTGACAAATCAGCAGTGGGTTTCTTTTAAATAAATCTAACACTACAATATCTAACTCTAGTATAATACTTGGGAGCTCTGGTCAGATAATGTCTAAGGCATTTGAATGCTAACCAGAAGGCTGAATGTTCAAACCCACTCCTTGGAAGGAAGGTTGGGCAATCTACTTCTATAGTGATATCACCTTGGAAACCCAAGGAGGGGTCGCTATGAGTCGGATCGACTCAACGGCAGTGCGTGCAGTGCAGTGTACTACTTCCTGTGAATACATACTATGTACTTCCTCTGACAAAGTATACACATTAACTTATTTAACCCTCAGAATAACTTTGTGGTAGGAGCCATCATTATCTTCATTTTAGATGAAGAAACTGATGCACAGAGGGTAAGTAACTTAAGCTAAGTAAGAAGAAGTAGTGGAGCTGGGATTTGAACACATGATGTCTGGTTTTAAAGTCCACACTCAATGCCTGAACTAAACTGCCTCCTAGGAGTAACTCTCATTCTGGATACATGTAAGCTGATATTGAGGTCGGAACAAAAATCCTCCAAAGAGCACAAGCCATGACTTGTCTCTGTGAGAAGATTATAAAGGAATCCAGATAACACTGTTAAGGTGCAGAGATGAAAAATCATTCAACTTATGCGCATTACATGTTGGGAGCTACTGAACTGCCATATTTATTATACAGTTACAGATGATTTTTAAAAATTTGTCCATGTTGTCTGATATTCTTTATGGGCCATTTTTACGTTGTAGGGGTGAGTTAACATGAATCTGTTTATTGACCAGAATTACAGGTGGGATAGAGACTGGAGGAACCCGAGACTGTGGCCCCAGGTTATCCTTCAGGACTAGAAATGGACTCACTCCATGAATTGGCCCTCAGCCCAACAGTAGAAAGACCTACATGCAAAACACCTACCCCAGCGAGATGCACCCACCTACCCTTGGGAGATGTACCCCTCAGATCAATCAGCCGTGAGACATCAGACATGAGACATGAGGGGTAGCATTCACATAGAGGAAAGGCTGGACAGACAGGAATGTATAGATAAGAAGGGCACAGGGAGGGGTTAGTCACAGGGAGGAGAGAGGGGGAGAGTTTTTTTGGCTGGGGATTGTATAATCGGGGCTATGAAATCAAATGTGCATGAACTGTTGAATGTAAAACAAATTGGCTTTGTAAATTTAAACCCAAAGCACAATAAAAAATAAAATAAAAATTTTAAAAATATTTAAGAACAACAACAACAAAAAAAACAATAACCAGTAATCTACTTATATCCAGAGACTTCCAGACACTCGAGTTAAGTTTGGCATTAAAAGAGAAATTCAGCATTCGACAGTCCGGATGGTCCCACCACCAGTCTGCCTTACATCATCTGGCTGTCTCTATCAGAGGGAGGAAAATCCAGAGATCCCTCAGTCACTATGAGTAGGTCATTCTCTGAAAGGTAGGGACTTGGAAGTACAATCGAGCAGAACAATTCACATACAATGGCACTGATATACCACAGGCAGATCAAGGCTGGGCATTGGGGCACCTGTGTGGCAAGCTCACCTACTCACTGCCTAGCCAGGCTCCCATCTCCACGGTTCTCACCTGGATATGTATCTGTTTGAATTTCTCTCTGTGTTGCCCAAGTTTCTTTATCTTGGTCAAAACGGGATATCGTATCAGATTTGAAAGGTTTTTGTCCTGAAAATGCAAGAAGATACAGCGTTTAGGCTCATTTTCTAGATACCAAAAATAATATGAAAATGTGGTTTTGATCCCATGATTTTCAGGTCTTTGAAGGACAAACAAGGAAAAGATTCAGGACAGGTCAAATAAAGTGACTTTGGAACAGTTCTACAAAGAAAGGTTTTAACCTGAGTACAAAGACCAAAATGTACCCTCCAGGGAACGAGAACACTCCAACAAGCTAAGTTTCAATGACCCAGAGGTTCCCCTCACCTGCAGAGACCAGGTTCCTGAAGTTCTCCAGCATCACGTCTCGGTACAGCCTCCTCTGGGCCGAGTCCAGCAGTTCCAGCTCCTCCTTGGTGAAGACCACAGCCACGTCCTTGAATGTCAGTGACTCCTAAAATGTGAAGCACCATTAACACCAATATCCACTGGCTGAAAGGTGAATGTGGCATCATTAAGGAAAGCAGACAGGAGAGCAGGAAGTTGATCAGTGTGGACAATCACAGCAAGTATTATTCATGTTTGGTGCCAACAATTTGGAGTCCACCAACTGACCTCCTGTGGTTAACCAGAGTAAAGCAAAGACCATTCTTTGCTCAGTGTGAGCACCTCTGAGAGTAATTCCTAGAACTGAAATGGTTTAATCACAGAGTTTGCACATTTTACAATTTGACTCTAATTTGTGGACTACCAACTTTTCCTCCAAAAAGGCTGTAACAGTTTACAGTTCCAAAAGTGCCTAATTAAGAAGGCCCATGCCTACACTGAAATAGAACTGAACTATTTTGGTTCTAGGAATTACTCTCAGAAGTGCTCACGCTAAGCAAAGAATGGTCTTTCCTTCATGGCTTGAAGCACTTATTGATAAAGATTAAAGACTACAGACTGAAGTATGGATTACACCTAAACATAAAGAAAATGAAAATCCTCACAACTGGGCCAATAAGTAGCATCACGACAAACGGAGAGAAGATTGAGGTTGTCAAAGATTTCTTATTACTTGATGTAACACCAATGGAAGCATTAGTCAAGAAATCAGATAACTTATTGCACTGGACAAATTTGCTGCAAAAGACCTCTTTAAAGTGCTGAAGAATGAAGATGTCTCCTTGAAGACTAAGATTACTGGAAATGGGACAATCAGAAATAATGACAATACTGACACACTGTGAAAATTTTACCCAATGTCCCTGAACAAATTGTCTAGAAATTGTTGAATGGGAACCTCAACTGCTGTGTAGATATTCACCAAAAACACACTGTAAAACAACTATATATATATATATATATATATATATATATATACACACACACACACACACACATATACATATAAACATACACACACACGTGTATATGGGACTTGCTGCTTCATGGACTTAAAAAATCAGCACTTTTCCCCATCTCCTGATATTATGTTGTTATTTTTTGTTATTATTACCTTCTGATTTAGAACCATCCATCCCACTGTAGAGAAGCTCTGGTGGCATAGTGCCTAAGGCATGTGACTGCTAACTAGTCTGTACGTAGAAGTCATTGTTTGCTACCTATCCTTTTACCAGTTTCTCCAATTCTGACTACTTTCTTTTATCTGTTGATTGGCTTCATTTTATATGCAGGTAGTTGTTTTATTTCTGTTTTTGCAAAGACTTCTGGATGCTATATCCTCTGAGTTTGAATGCTTAGGGATGTATGTTGCCTCTATGTTTAAACGGCACTTTGTTGTTGATGTTAGGTGCTATCAAGTCATTTCCCAACTCAGAGCGATGCTGTACACAACAGAATGAAACACTGCCCGATGCTGCACCATCCTCACAACTGTTGCTGTGTTTGAGCCCACTGTTGTAGCCAGTGTCAGTCATCTCGTTGAAGGTCTTCCTCTTTCACACTCACTGTTTTCATTACCAAGCATGATGTCCCTCCTTCTCCAGGGACTGATCGCTCCTGATAACACATCCAGTGTCATGTGAGACGAAACCTCACCATCCTCGCTTCTAAGGAGCATTCTGGCTGTACTTTTGCCAAGAAGGTTTGTTTGTCCTTCTGGCAGGCCATGGGATATTCAGTGTTCATTGCCAGTACCCTAATTAGACTTCATCTTTGCTGATTTGGTCTTTCTTATTAGTTGTCCAGCTTTTACATGCATATAAGGAAATGGAAAATCCCATGGCTTGGGACAGGCACATCTTAATCTTCAATGTGACATCAAAGTGAAATGGCGGATTACCTGGGCTTAAAATTCTTCACTTACGTTTTTGTTGTTAGGTGCTGTCAGGTCAGCTCCAGCTCACACGACCCCATGTGCGACAGAAAGGAGCAGTGCCCAGTCCTGCACCAGCCTCACAATCCTTGCCATGCCTGAGCCCGTCATTGCAGCCACTACGCCAGTCCAGCTCCTTGAGGGCCTTCCCCTTTATCGCTGACCCTCCACCTTACCAAGCATGATATCCTTCTCCAGGGAATGGTCCCTTCTAACAACATGACCTAAGTAGGTGAGACGAAGTCTGGCCATAAACACTTAAAAGTTCTGTGAGTGCTGTAATTATTATTTTTTTGGAGGTCAATTTAAAGGAAAATTAAGTAAGTATATATACATATTGCAGTGAATTAGTTAACATTGCCCTTCTAGCCGTGTTCCTCCATTTTGCGATGTATTGTAATTCTCAGCCTCTATGCCTGTTGTTATGGTCCCATTTTGTAGTGAATTGTCCATTATGTTAATGAGGCAGGATTAGGTGGGATGTATCGTGAGTGACTCAAATCATCATCCTTAGTTTCCTTTAAGGTATGGTTTGCAACTAGTAACGCATCTGTCTGTATATGAATGCTCTGGCAAAGTTCACTCTCTTGCTCTAGATCCTACATCTATCTGGTTCATTATCATCTGACCCCCAGTTCTTGGGACTTGAGATAGCAACCAGTTGTCTGACCTGCTGATTCAGTTCATTGCACCCTGCAACCAAGTAAGTGAGGAGAATCCTCTAGACCAATGCTCGACCACAGATTTGGGACTTGCCAGCCTCCACAACCGTATGAGCCATTTCCTCAGCAGTTTGTGAGTTCTGGGAGACATTACAGCAAATTATGGAACCCTAAGATGGGAGAAGGAGCTCTGATAGTGTAGTGCCTAAGGCACTTGACTGCTAACCAGAAGGTTGGCAGTTCAAACCCACCAGCCACTCCTTGGAAGGAAAGTTGGGCAGTCTACTTCCATACTGATACTGCCTCAGAAACCCAAGGAGGGGTCACTGTAAGTCAGGTCTGACTTGACGGCACATGACAACAACAAGAAGATGGGAGAAAGATTGCTGATGGGAGGAGAAGTAGCTGAAGTTAAGATGATGGAGTGGCACAGCAGTTTGCAAAAGCTGGACATTTGGGATTCTTAAACCTGTGCATCAGACCATACCAGTTTGGCCTCTGGAAGGGCTGGAGGCTATCTTGTGGATAAGTGCAATGAGTAATGGAATGTACTCACACACTACATCTTCATCGTCTTTCCTCTGATGAAGTAAGGGAGGTATGTCTACTCTCTGGTGCCCAAAGTGGTATTTCTGGAAAGAAAAGAAAATTCAACCCACCTGAAACTTGGTCTTCTCCTCTCCTTCCTGGGCAGGGGCTGAGTCCTGAGAATGAATCACTGTAGGAGAGAAAGAAGCCATGAGGAAGAGGAGGTGCCTTGAGTTTGTTGACTATCAACCTGAACCTCAGGAAAGGGTGCAGCTTTCCATATTGGTTTCCTTGCACCTCAAGCAATTCTTCACCCAACTGTTTCCCTCTCCACACCCAGCTGGGATTCTGACCCTACAGCCTCCATTAACTCTCACCTCTCTCCTCATGTTTTGAGGTCAAAGTCTTCATGGTCTCCTCTCCCAGGCTTTCTGAGAACAGCAATGGTTTTGTCTATGCTCTGATCTTCCTGAACTGAAGAAGCAAAAAGACAAAGGGCGTCTTCATTCTTGAGTTTCTCCAAGCTCTGAGCAAGGTGTGTCAGATGGATAGTACCTGTGTAAAAAGGGCATGGGGGTGGCCTCATCTGACCTCCTCTAACTTTACAAAGGGGAGACAGAATCAGCAGCAGCATTATCAGCCCAAGGGTGGTTTCTATAAGGCAGAGGTCAGATATGCCACCACCCTCCAACCTTTTTTCACCATTTACCAGTTACCAGCTGTTTGGTCCTCTAGTGCTGCTCTAACAGAGAATGGCACAAATGGGTGGCTTTAACAAACAGAAGTTTAGTCTCTAACAGTTTAGGAGGCTGGAAGTCTGAGTTCAAAGTGCCAGCTCTAGGGGCTAGATAAAGGCCCCTCGACCTTGGGATTCAGCTCTGCCTTTTGCTCCTGGCCCACTGAAGCTGGAGGTGTCTAACTCAGGCAGCTGCTGGCTGCTAAGGCTGACAAACTCAAGGTTGACAAATAAAATGGCATAGTCCCAGAATGATCAAACAACA